AGCCATGTCACTGTCCCAGGCTATCAGAGGACAATGAGGTGAAACAAGCCATCATCATCAAGCTAGAATGCAAAAAGCAATAAAATTCAATGCTGTTTATTAGCTTACTGGTGTCATCTTCTGTTAGTTTCTCAGCTGCTTTTAGAAGTCTGCACAGCTCAGTTGACTGAGTCAGCTGTTTGGCCTCTTTGATAACCTTTGGCTTGAAAGTTGTCTCCCACTTCTCAAGCATCTTGGAGGCTGTTTCAACTCCAAACAGCAACAAAAAGTCTTGATTCAGCTGTTCAAATATATAATTACACAGAATTTGAAAAAAGGTCAGAGTAGTGTACATTCAAACAAGAAAACAATAGAGTGTATGAATGAAATTGTCAACTCACCAGCCCTTTGATATCTAAGAAACGTGGAAATGTTTTAAAAACATCTGTGGTTCTCTGTAGGTCATGTACAAGGTCTTGGCGATATTGAAAGGTCATCTTCATTTTCTGAAACACACTTTCTTCATCCTGACAGTGATTGAGAAATGATATTGCTTCCCTGCAGGCATCTCCATCAAGCTGCTCAGGCAAAGAGGCTGCCAATCTTCGGCACTTTGGTCCTTGTGCTTGGGCCACTGTAGCTGTCTTGGCTGGTCTTTTTACTGTGTTTCTGGACATAGTCTTAAGGCGCCATGCTAAATATCCACTGCCTTTTTCTGCATCATAGAAGTGTTCCTGTTAAGATAATTACAAAAAATCATTACAAAAGTCTTATCAATTGTTTATACAAAAATGTGGAGAAAGTATTAATAAAAGGATTATCATTTTAATGTAGGTTTGTCAATTACTAATTCATATAAAAGCATCCTGTTGACCAAATGCATTCTAACTACAAGACAAAGCATTTTCACTCATTTTGCATCCTAATGACAATATTTATGGTAGATTTGAACTTTGTAGCATATTCAAGTAAACTATTTTGTTAGGCAAATGTGGTCTCAAGTACATTTTTATATAAAAAGAGAATGTCAACCCTATTTTGATTGACACAGCAATCATTTCAACTTATGTCACAAGTCTTCTGTCAGAAATTGTGTTTTCTGGAAGTAATCCATTTTTAAACTTACATAGCCCTTTGGAGAAAATGGATCCTTTAGTGAAGGAAATAGTGTTATGATTCCCAGGGCATACTTCTCCTTATGTTTACGTGAAGGCATCCTCCTTTAGGAAAAAATATTTAACATCAGCTCATTCCATCAAACCAAAACAGATGTTATCTAATGATATTGCTCATACAGACAAGTAAAAAAA